ACCGATTACATTGTGTATGCCAAACCGAAGGATTCTCCACCGAAGTTCATGCCAATTCATTACGATTTCTCCTTCATCGATCCTAGCCTGGGTGTGGTCCGTCTTGCCGAAGATAATTGGCCTCCTGCTGCAGCCTTTGGCCTTGACGATTCACAATTGGAAGCACTAAAGAGCGCTCTCACTCGAGAGTTCGCCGTGATTCAAGGACCCCCTGGCACCGGAAAAACGTTCATCGGGTTGAAAGTCGTCGAGACCCTGCTCAAGAATAATGTGACGGAAAAAACCGGGCCCATACTTGTCATCTGCTACACAAATCATGCTCTGGATCAGTTCCTCGAGGGGATCATGCACTTCACGAGGGACATCGTTCGCATCGGATCTCGGTCGAGGTCACCTCTCATGGAAGAATTCCTCAAGATAAAATGGAGAATGAAAAGTCAAGAGAAGAGGCAAAATAAAAAGCAGAGAAAGGTTTCAAAGAAGAGATCGAAGCTCATTTGGGAGAGGAATTCCATCAAGAAACAGGCGGAACACTACGAAAAGAAACTCCGCGTTCTCCAAAGTGGCTCTGGATTGGTCTCTCCAGAGACCTTGAAAGATATGGAGATCATCGACGATGCAACTTATCGCCTGATACCGCGGTTCTGGGACTGGTTGAATGAAATCGCGGGACAAGAGTTAAACTTTTCGCTCGAGTGTCGACGAGTGAAGGAAACCATTCATCGAGACTTTCGAAAGCCAAACTCCACAGATTCTTCCACAAAAATCATACAAAGGCTGCTGAAGTTACAGGAGGGGGAACGACCTGGAGAACACGAAGAGGTCGAGGATCCCCAAGAGATTCGAGACGCTGATGACTTCGACATTGCGATCGATAGCGAGGACGAGACGTACGAGGAGGCTCAGTCGTACTTCACGGTCGGGCTTGAAATGTCAGAGAGTGACCTATCCGTTGAGGTGAAGGACGCTGCGTCCCTTCTCCAGTCTTGTCAGAACGACGAGGATGAGAAAATACGAAACAGAGTCGAACTGAATCACAGAATGGCCTGCGGAAGGCTGGAGTTGTTCCGCGACGTCCAACCCCTGCTGAAGGTGGATCCTCAGAGGATCCCCCCAAAGCCGAAGATCCTCCAGGAGGGCAGCCTCGACGGTCAGACTCTCCAGCGATTGAGCCCCCATCAGTGCCTGGAGTTATTGGCCTTTTGGCACGGGCAGGCCCTCGTCTGGATTCAAAACGCGTTGATGGAGGAGTCCAGGTCGTACGTGGAAGTCATCGAGCAACTCAGGGACTTGCAGGTTTATGCAGACCTGGATGCGATGAAAGAGGCAAAAATAATTGGAATGACTACTTCAGGTGCTGCCAAATCCCAGGGACTTCTGCAAAACATTAACAGTAAAATCGGTGAGTTGCCAAATCTCTTTGACTTTTAAGTGTGAAATTGGCGCGTATCTCATCAGTAATATTTCAATATCTCCAAGGAGGTTCTCCCTTTATATATTCTCTGTACTTTTGTATTTTGTACCTAGTAATTGTGGAAGAGGCCGCCGAAGTCTTGGAGGCCCATATTGCAACCTCCCTTCCAAGTTCCTGCGAGCAACTCATATTGATCGGTACGTGAGGCCAAATGCATGCCATTTCCATGCATCTCGCTGCTGTAGTGTTAACTCGCGTTGAGATGATGTCAAGTTCGTGTCGAGGCATGGGGTACGAAAGTTTTTCAACTTTCTCGTGGGGTGGGGCAGCAATGCTTGTGAACGTTTTTGGTTCGTCATGCCGAAATTTTATCGTGCTTTACCTTCATGTACGTTATTCGTGGAATTTCGTTTTCGTAGTCTCAACAAAGAAGCCTGTTTGCGTGAATGGTGAGGTAGGCGGGATATTTTGAATAATATATTATTGGAAATATGTAGTAAATGTTTTAATATTGTATGGTTTCATGTTAGCCTGGTTTAAAGGTTTTCATTTTGTGTCATATTCAAATTGTTGGGATTCGTTTCTACGCATGCAACTACAAATATCTTACTCCTCTTGTTACTTGTTACTCTTGTTACTTTTGTCTTCTTACTAGGTTGTATAATATTTTGAGCTTAATACATTATCAATTAATAAATACAATATTTTTAAATCTAATAATATTGGATGGCGCGGTGTGTGCTTTCTAACAGGGGACCATCAGCAGTTGAGACCGAATCCAACAGTGTACAACCTGGCAAGAAATTACCATCTGGACATCAGCATGTTCGAGCGCGCAGTGAAAAACAGGATCCAAGTGAAACGGCTGAGAATCCAGCATCGGATGCGTCCGTCCATCAGCAGTCTCGTCACTCCGCACATCTATCCCGACCTCGTCGATCACGAATGCGTTCGGAATTACCCGTCGATATCGGGAATGGCGGAGAATCTCTTCTTTCTAACGCATGACTATGAGGAAACCGAAGTGAGCACTCTGTCTGTTTCTCATCATCCGACTCTCTTCGTTCTACTTGCGGTAACGTCGCTGTGACAGGACCTGGACCTGCGCAGTCGCAAGAACAACTTCGAAGCAGAATTCATCCTGACCCTTTGCCAGCGACTCATACGCCAGGATGCATACACGCCGGAAGACATCACCATACTCACCGCCTACAGCGGTCAGCTTTTTGCGTTGAGGGATGTAGGTCCATCCGTCATCTCTCGTATGTCTCCCCTGTGCTGTGAGATGTTAAGATTTCCCTCATTCTCTGCTGATTTTTCAGCTGCTGAAGGAGGCAAAATATGAAGACTGCGAGGGAGTTCGATGCTCTGTTGTGGACAGCTATCAAGGTGAAGAGAACAAGATCGTTCTGCTCTCACTGGTTAGAAGTAACGAAGAGGCGAAGATCGGGTTCCTGAAGATAAAGAATCGCGTCTGCGTGGCCCTGTCCAGGGCAAAATGGGGATTGTACATGGTAGGAAACATGGACTCACTCCGTGACGGCTCCAAGATTTGGAAGAAGATAGAGGCAGTTCTGAAGAGACAGAAAGCATTCGGATTCGAGTTGGAGCTCCGATGCCCCGTCCACGAGGATCAGATCGTCAGGGCATCCCTGCCCTCCCACTTCCCTGCCGGTGGAGGCTGTCACTTGCAGTGCGGCGTGCAGATGCGCTGTGGGCACGCTTGCCAGGAAGATTGTCATGCTTACGATCGAGAGCACGAACGAGTGATTTGCTGGGAGATAGTCACGAAGACGATCCCTGCATGCGGGCATTCCAACAAGATGCCCTGCCATCTCGATCCCGCCGAAGGAAAGTGCAAAACCTACTGCAGAGCCAACTTAAAATGCGGACATAAATGCACTCGCAAGTGTCACGTTTCGGACGATCCCGATCACATCGAGCACGTCTGCCAGAAAGCTTGCGAGAGACGGTGCGAAGAGGGCCACGATTGCACGGAGAAATGCGGCAGCCCTTGTCCCCCTTGCATGGAGATAATGGATCGGGTCTTGCCCTGCGGACATTCGGAGAAGGTTCTTTGCTATATGGACGTGAACGAGTACGTATGCATGCAGAAATGCTCTCGGAATCTGCCCTGTGGCCACCGGTGTCGTCTCAAATGCAGCGAAGCATGTGGGGAATGCCGTTATTATGTCGACAAGATCATCCCCGACTGTGGCCATAAAATCCAAGCGGAATGTTCTTCAATTCCGAAGAAAACTGACTGCACGGAGGCCTGCGAAAGAAAACTTGTTTGTGATCACCCGTGCAAGAATGCATGTGGAGAAACGTGCACAACGGAGTGCCGGGTCCTGGTCCCCTATCCTGGAGATATTCAGTCTCCGTGAGTATCGGGGAAAAATTAAGACTGTTCTATTCTCTTCCTTACACGTGACTGGCTGACGGCGTGACCCCTTTTTCCAGTTGTGGGCACATACCCAGAGTTCCATGCTGCTATTCCAAAGCAAGAATAGATCCAGAGGAGCTGATGGAGTCGTGTGACTCTCCGTGCTCAAAGGTTCTCCTGGGCTGCAACCACGCCTGCAAGGGAAAGTGTGGGGAATGCTGGGGCGGCAGACTCCATCAAGAATGCGACGAAAAGTGTAGTCGTCCTCTTCTCTGCGGACACATGTCAGTTCACCTGAATCTCATTCACTTTCTGATTAGACTTGGGCCTTGAAGTTACGAGGTCAGTCTGACAAAAAAAGGGGCTGTCAAGGTTCTTTTTTTGGATTTTTTAGGCACTCCAGTGATTGAATTTCACTAATCTCTCAAGGAATGCAAGAATACTTGGAAGTGTCAATGAGGGAATACTTGCAGGGAAAAAGTTAAGCTAGTTCCTTTGTGAATTTTGAAAAATTACTTGGAGCAGGGACTCCCGACGTGTCACTGCCAATATCTGACTGCTCGGCATGGCAGCGTCGGTGGGCCCAGGAGCAATCTCGGCTGCCTGCGATGGTCGACTGCCCGCGCATCGCAAGGCCAGCAACGCTGTTCCTTTTCTCAAATATGCAAATGAGAGCTATTAGCTTCTGCCAACATCCCCACAAGATATTCGTAGTTGGGCACAAGGACGATAGGAAAGAAGCCTCTGTGAAAGCATTCATTGTACGTGATTCACCAAGCTCTTGAAAGCTCATGAATGATATTGTAACTGCATTCATGAAGGTGGATTCACTCTCGCTCCTTTAATTTCTCGATTGCTCCCAAAGCAACTTAGGCTGTATGACTTTTGTACTTCTGACTTTATGATAGAAAATATCATAACGGAATTTTAGAAATATGCCCAAATCCAATGTCATATTGATCTCCGAGTCGACTTTGCTCTCTTTCCATGATTTTATGCCTTCGTTTTACTGCTTCTCAATTTTGCACAACCGACTAAGGCAATAAAGACTGGAAAATCGTGCCAAATCGGGAACGAAGGAAGGATACAAGACCTTTTCTCATCTTTGCTCCCCCCCCCCCCACCCCCCCCCCCCCCACCCCCCCCCCCCCCTCGCTCGTATTGAAGTGAACACCTTGAAGTTCTTCGCCAGGCCACTAGATGGCGGTAAGGGTCTCGCTTTTCGCACAGTACACAGAAGTTCCCTTCCCTCTTTCCCTGGAATCGTCACTCGCAGGATTGTTTAGTACCTTGCCATGTGTCTCGCCTAGTCTCATTATAGGAAACAACAAACACGGACACTTCATCATTTGTTATCCACATATTCAAGGCATATTCATGGAGTCCAGGCCATAAACAAGCTCATATTCCTCTTGATAACCCTTTTGGATCGCGGTTGGTTTTATCCGCATAGGAGACTTAGAATAAATAGAGTGTCTGTGAACTTCATTAAATCATATATCACAATGAAATGAGGTAATAATGACTGATATCCTGGGTACTCCCCGGAATCAATAAGAGGTGACCCACTCTCTGATCTGTGCTGCAATCAGTACTATCAGAGGTAGATCATCGCTTGAACGAGAGCGACACACATTATGAGAATTTTCGTATTTGCATGACATCTCTATCACTTTCTGATGGGAGTGTTTTTACTCACAGAGGAGGAGAGCAATTTTACTCCTTGGTGATGGAGCAAATTCACTCCTTTCCCAGAGTGAAAGGGGGGTGAAACTGGAGTTAGCTATTTTACTCTCTTTTTTGAGAAAAATAGCTCCCCTTTTTCTAAGAGTGTAGTACCTTACCCTATTTTGGAATCCCGTTATCCTTTCACGCGATGCAATCAGCGACAAGACTGCATCTCTAATGTTTTTAATCCATTCCTTTCACGCAGATGCACCGGCAAGTGTTCTCAACCCTGTCCTCCTTGCATCAGAAAATGCGGGAATAGATGCTCTCATCGCCGCTGCCCTAACAAGTGCCAGGAGCCTTGCCCTCCTTGCCAGGTCATCTATCCATCACTAGCCCCTTTCATGTCTCATACTTTAATAATCGAGCTTAAATCCTACTTTTTTTTCCTATTAAGGAACTGTGTGCATGGCAGTGCCACAACGACTGCCCAATGAAACTTAAGTGCACAAAAAAATGCCACGAAATGTGTGACCGGGAACCATGCGACCAGCCCTGCCCAAAGAAGATTAAGAAATGCAACCACCCGTGCATCGGTCTCTGCGGAGAACCGTGCCCTCCGATATGCAGAATCTGCAACCCAGAAGAACTAGCCGATCTCAAGATCTACAAGAACGAAACCGACACGGATGCCAGGTTTTTGTACCTACCAGACTGCGGGCACTGCATCGAAGTGGAGGCCATGGATCGTCACATGAACATGGAATCGGAAGAAATCGGAATGAAGAAATGTCCCCGCTGTGACACGGTCATCTGGTCGTCGGTGCGGTATGGAAACACCATTCGACAGCTTTACCGAGATGTTGCCGCCGTGAAGCAGAAGGCCCTCGGCGACCCAAAGAAATATCAGGATGACTTCCGCAAGTCTTTTCACAACTTCAAACAGCTGAGTGAGTGTGAGACTCCTATGAGCTTTCCCTCGTGTTAGCATGATAAACGGTCTCTCAAACTGCATCGACACTCGTTCAAGTACTGGATGATTGCAAAGAATGAATTGAAAGGTTCTTTAAACGCTTTCACCGTCAGAGTAGTCAGATCTGCCTTGAACTAGTCCTTGCCTAGTCTCCTGCCTTGAATTTTCGAGAATTTCATCCTGAAGCGTACTGTATGGTCTTTTGGATTGTGTTTTCATGGATTCTGCTCGGGGGGAGGGGGGGGGGGGGGAGAAACCTACATGAGTAGGGATTGAATCGTGAAACTGCGTAATGTTTCCTTTTATCAGCGTAGGCTTGGGTAGCCAAACCGCGTGTCTTCTCATAGTGCTGCCAGACACACCCACCGTATCCGAAGCTTACAGATAAGACACAGTTAACAAATTGACATGCGTTTAACATGGAACTCCCGTGTTTGAATCCCCGTCGTGGCCTGGAATTCCCGTGTACAGGTCGAATCGTGTGTCCGGCAACGCGTTCTGCGAGCCACGCTCGTGTTTCCATTTCCATCTCATGCCGTGAGGAGACACAACTTTGGCTACATTTATGCTGGCATCTAGATTGATGGGAACTACTGTATCAAGCAAATAAGAAAGAAAAATCTACGCATAGTTTCACTTTTTTGTGCATCCGTTCTCGACTAGGGAGTCTTTTTGTGAGTGAACTAAGATGTAAAATAGCTCTCCTCATAGAAAATCAAATTGCCTCATGAAAAACGATTTATCATTTTCTCAGAGATGCCCTGGCAATCTTGTAAGGTTACAATTATGGATCGATTATGGTTCAGCTGCAGAAAAACTATCAATTTTAAAAATTATAATGCTGGAATTACCGCATTTTTACCAGTTCACTTTTTCCATTTTAGGTTGGATAAAGGTGGAACTTATGCAAAAATGAGAATAAATAAAAAAGTTGCATGTTCTTTCCCAGGTGCGAGTCCCTTTCTGGAATCCGAATTCCAGGCGCTCCAAGCCAGCGCAAAGAGTAAAGTCGGACAGATCGAGAGGTTCCGCAACGCTTCTTATACTCCAATTATAATAAATGAGTTCGAGTTGGCGCTCTTCAAGAACCAGAAGGAAGTTTTGAGGAAGCTGGACGCTGCAGTGCAAGGTCACAGCGACGCTGTCCGGGCTCGGCTCGTTCGAAGAGCGAAGATGGTTTGTCAAACGAATTTTGCTTCAAATACGTACCGAATATGTGTTTCACATTCGAATTCTATGGTGATTATCATTTTTTTTAGATCGCGGATCGGGTGTTGTCGCGGACGAGGGGCTTCAACGACTGGGAACTGAAGGCCCTCGCGGGGGAGGTCGCGCGTCTGCAGCTCTTCGGTCTCTACTGGAAGCTTCAGGTGATGGCAAGCGTTTTCACACGCCGTTTCTTTCGCAAAGAGATAGTGAATCATTGGTGAATCAGTTTCTGTAATCGTGAAAAGTAAGTCGTGCGAGTGCTATTTATATATAGCGCTCCGGTTTCCCATGATGACTATTTTTGCAAACTTTGGGGGGGATACGCACCCTTTTTGGGGCTCCTGGGGGAAAAATGAGTGAACATTAATTTCATCAGCCCATTAGGTGCCCATTAAATCCCATTAGGAACCATCCACTGCGGGAATTTAGGAATCGTGTAAAATTTAGAACATTTGGTTATGTTAGACTAAATGAATGAATTGAAAGGGTATATTCAATTTAAAAATTCTGATTTGAAGAAAATGTGACGGCCGTGAAAGAATGGGAAAAATGGATTTCGAACTTAACGAATGAAAGTCATTGAAGCAAGGGAGAACAAGTCGTGGCAAATGGATTAGAGAGGGATGCTTTCATTTTTCAAATGGATCAATCTGTAGTAAATTGATTGAATTGATCAATCTGAAATATGTTTTGGTTAGGAGCGCAGTGCGTGATCGCGGTTGAATGTCACGAAGCTTCATGAGTTCGGCGCTCAAGCTCTCTTTGTGAAGTTGAAAACAAAAGGACCATTATCCAGCTTCGTTCTGATTCAGCAAATTTGGAGGTATTGCTGAGGGAAGCATGGTTCCAAGAGATCAAAAGAATGCTTTGATATTTTAAAGGCGGGAGCAGCAAGTCGTTTCCCCGAAGCCATGGAACACATTCGGAAAGCAGAGGTCCATCTTCTCAGTCTAGAAATATTCACGGATGCCATGGTTGAAGAGGTGCGCAGGGAGTTGGATGCTGCATCTCGCATCTGTGGAGAGTTAGGCATCTCCAAACAAGAGCGAATCACGATTTTGCAGGTAGGTATAAGTCTACATGTGGGACGAGCAAAGATTGGGGATGCCATTCGAGGTGTGCACCGTCGTTGCAGGCCATGCACCTTGGACAAGGGCGCTGGTGTAAGTGTCCCAATGGACACATCTATGCGATCGGGGAGCGTGGGGGAGCCATGCTGGAATCCAAATGCAACGAATGCGGGGACAAGGATCGGCGGAACTGACCATTCGAATGTCCATCCTCGTCAGCTGTTTCACACATCTCTCAGTTGGGATAAATCTATCCTCTGTTGATGCTCGCAGAATACGGTTATTTTCTGCAACCTTTCCATACCTGCCCCTAGCATGCATTTCTTGATTTTCTCTGCTTCGTGGTTTTTATGGTTTGGTCGTGTTTTGACTGTAGATGGTTTCTTTTGAGTTTTAACTACTTTATTTTGTGTGGTTAGGTTTATTTTAGAGGATTGTTTAAGAATATTAATTTTATTCAGGAATCAAGGGGTGTCTAAAAGCAAAAGTCTTGATTCCGACACCATATTAAAATATTAAAAATATATCATTTCTACGTGCTTATATAATGATAAGTATACTTTAGTAAATGTTAAATATTACGCTTTCTTCTTAAACTTAGTAAAATGTATATATTTTTCTGAGCAATGTCGAAGAGCTGCGTTGGTTAAACTCAACTCTCTATTTGGTGAAGTCACTCACGTATGACTCTGTGAAGCCACGCACTCATTTTCAGTTTAAAATTTCCATCTCCTGCATTTTCTTCGTCAGCAAAAGTATTGGCAAGAAGTGCCACAGAATTGCTTCACCCTAGTGTTAAATCTTTCAACCAGGTTCCAGTTGGTATGGTTCTAGGTGTTATGGTTTCAGGCCTGAATGCAACGATACAGGCTCCTTCGTGGATTCATGGTTTAGCGAAAGGAGTATTTTGGATCGTTTGCCCTTTTTAAGCCTCTTCCGAATTATATAAAGTTTATGGCCCGAATGCTGAGACCTCTTTTAGTTAACTGTCCGTTAAGAATACATGGACTCCTATGGCAGAAAAAGAGCTCTTTAGCTTAAAGTCTCCTTCATTTCCCCTAAATGCGGTTTGTGCATTCGGGCCTATATCGTTTCTCCGGCTGCCCTCGCACTTATTCACATTCACTGTTGTCGGAGGTGACCTTTGATACCGCCGAACTTACCCCATCGATTTTAACGGTTCGAAGTACGATTGTCTTTTTCGATTTTCCCCATTGCACTCGACAGTTGCGAATGGTGCATCTCGCTCGCGGAGAAGTGCGGCGCGCTCTGTCTATGGGAATGAAGCCTCTATTGACAATTTTTAAAGTGTTTTCATTCAACCGATTTGATTTCGGCGCGGTCGATTTTGGCGTTGCATCGGAGGACTTGCTATGTGCTGTCGAATTCCGATACCGAAATCTTTGAATGTATGAAATGGAAGCATACGCTTCCATTGGGATCATTATATATGTCCCTATTCCCCTCCGATACTCTACGCTAGCCCTATTCACCATCGATTCTGCAGCTGTGAGTCGCCTCTCACTCTGGCAACCTACATAAAGCTGTGCTCAGTATTGGATAAGGGTTGTGGCACTTATGCTACAAATTCTCGCCTGGTCGCGTTGTTCTCTAGCAGTGACACAGCTGGGATTCACGAGTTGTGTTCATTGGGCGGAGCGCAAAATCGAGGATTTACGTTGGAAAAAGCATGTTTATACAAATGTTGGTGTTGGCGGATGGCGGTGGTGGCTCTATAACCTATGATGAGCCTATGGTGGAAAGAATTCGCAGTGTTTATCTGTAGCGTGTCACGGCAAAGACGTGGTTACATCTGTGCGCTCGTGATGTGGGCACACTGGTCGTCACCTACGCACAACAGCTGGAAGTATTGTTCGCGGCTCATAGGGATGGGCAAATTACGGCGGACCTGCCCAGGACCAAACAGGAAAGATCGAACGAAGAACGACCGCAAATTAAAAGTAATTTTCACAACATTTTAACCACTTGATAACGTTTCAGGAATACCTCCAGTCGGAACAATCTCTGCACTTCTTCATCGAAGTAAAATGTTTCTCGAAGCACTGGAAGCGGATAATGCCGCAAGAAAAGCGCACGGTTCCTCCCCAGGCCAGCGTCCTCACAGCCTCACCTGCTCCATCCCACAGGGAGCGGGACGGAGCGGGACGTAAGGGTCGAGGGAGACAGTCTCACTGCGAATGGACTGCGACCAAGGCCAGAGGCTGAGGTGCGGCGTTGCCAAATATATATGCAGCGTTGCCAGATATATATTTCTTTTTTTTTTTATCTGCGCTTGGACTTCGCCTTACAACGATTTATTTTATGGGCGTCGCGATTCGTTGTTCAATTCCATATGTAAGCATGGCTCTGTTAATGATCTTTTACAATATAACGCCAGCATTTTTATTTATTAGATTTATTAGAACCTATTGAATAGTTTTCCATCAAGAAGCGAAACTAAGAGGCGGGAAGCTCTTGAGGTGGGAAGCCCCATCTGCAAATTTTGCAGAAAGATTGAGACAAGAAACTCAAGAACGACTCTTTCGAGTCAAGTTCAACTCTTCCCAATCCTAGTTTCGCCTAGGGCACCTTCTTTCCTTCGAAGTCAGAACGCTTCCCCCCCCCCTCTCTCCGTCCCTCCTTTCCTTCCCTAGGTCACAGGCTGGCCTAACAAGACCCACGGGCCACTAGTTTCCGCGTCGTGATGACAATGCAAGCCCTTCTCTCTCTCCCCCCCCCTCCTTCTCTCTCTCTCTCTCCCTCTCTCTCTCTCTATCCTTCTCTTACTCTCTCCCCTTCCTTGCATTGACGAGAGGAGGAGCGACGCGAGTAGAATGAATCCCAGTTGGTCCTGCAAATCCCATCGCTCTTCGTCGGAAGGAACGGGTGAGGTGAGAATAACATTGCTACTTCTGGGTTTCATCGTTTCAAACGAATCCGAATGTATCGAATGTATCGCTCGTGCTGATGAACACTAGTGGAAGCCAAGAACGGCGACCAGGACGCACTCGCCTCGGACTGCAATTCCGCCCCGTTTTCGTGCCCGTGCCGCGTCGTCGTTCCCACCCGCATAGAAAAGGCTCCGTAGGCCTTAGCACTAGGCTAGGCCTCAAATTTAGGGCTAAAGGGGGGATCGGAGAGGGGGGGGGGTGTGGAATCTTGCGCTTGTGATGACGTCAGCGAAACGTTCCACTGTAAAAGCGGGCGCTTTGCCCTTCACGATCTTATTACCTCGCTGCTTGAGGCCAAGATAGGTCGTATACGCTTTCTCATGTCTCTCGCAGCCGTGATACATCTACTCTCGTTTGTCAGAGCCACCTAGGCAGCATCGTACATAAATTGCCTACCTGTTCGTTGATTTCCATGATATTCTTAGGTACCTTTATTTCATTCGCTCTTAGTAGCAGTTATGTAGTACAATGGCAAGGATTGCATTGTCGCATCCTCAAAGAATACTTATAGGACTCGGCAGGCACTAAATATTTCCAGACCGAGGAAATGAATGGCTTCAATCGCTTGGAAGAAAATCTATCTCCAGATATGCTTTAGTGTGCTCGCATCCCTTCTCCTTAAGGCCCTGTTACACTAGGCGAGTACTCGCTAGGGCCACTCGCTAACACTCGCTACGAGTTTGAAAGATTTCAAACCTCAGGCAAGAACTCGCTAGCAAGAACCAATCAAAAGGCAACCTCGAGGCAAGATGGAGCCCCACTCCTCCCATGACAGCGTGACAGGAGTTGAAAGGTCAACGCGAAGCGTCTGGCATGAGTTCGGGATGCCTCTATATCAGTTGCCGTTCAACGCCAGTGTCGCTGCTGCCCTCGTTGGGGTATGGTACATTATCAGGAAGAGTGGGAGGCACAACGCACGAGCTTGGACGATGCTCTGGCTCTTGAAAAGATCCACTCTGATGGCGCACAATTTTTATTACCCCACCGAAAGGGGCCTATTCCCAATCACGTCGCTGGCTTTCTTCGAATGAAAGAAGGAACCTTCCAGAGACTCTTAAAGAAGGTAGCTCCAAAGGTAACAAAGTAGAAAACGGTACTGATAGACCCAACCAGAGGAATTGCTCATTCATCCCTTAGTTACCTTGCCAGGTGTGAATCTCGTAGGAGATTGGTTATGGCCACTTCATGACTGAAGAGGTTGGGATAAATTAAATGTGAAGTGAATGGCTCGTGGATCTTCGGAAAAATCATTCGAACAGAATCGAAGATATCTGTTTTGGCTTTCCTTGGCCTCCTAAGTGTCATTTTGACAGTACTCGCTTAATGTAACACCACATTCGCCCACTCGCTGGCGAGTACTCGCCAAGTGTAACAGGGCCTTTAGATTCCTATCGTGATCGAAACGCTATAAGGCGCTTGAAAAAATATGTCGTTCCAAAAGATAATCTGGCCGGAGGTCCAACGTAACCTCCCACGTTCACGCTCGGCGTCTAACGTAAATTTGTGACCATTTGACGGTCTGACGATTCATTTCAACCAATGGAAGACTAGCAGGTCTCCTCATCTCTTGAGAATGGATACGATGACATAAAATCGTCGTACCGGATGACCATGAATGCTCATTGCTTAGGGGTAGAAATCTTTTGTCATAAGCTGAAGAGAGCACAGGGAATAATGAAGCTGAGATAAATTCTTTTCTCTCAGGTGATGCAAAAAAAGAAAGGTCGTCGAAGATCCCCAAGGAAAGGTGTCTGTTTCAAAAACTCGTTCACGAAGGAGTATTCACAAATACTCAGTTGTGAAATAAGTTATCAATTACAAGTACCCGTATATCCTTCCATTGACTATTGGGATCTTCGTACCTACCAGAACTCTACTAGACTGAGATACCTGAACAGGGGAATTGCAGTGAGAATGAACCGGGATCGTTAGGAATTGAAATGAAAAAATTGGGAATAATGGTGATGGAAAAAGGATTTTCATGATAGCTCCGATCTATTGTGAGATGGCCGGACATCGAATTCACAAAACCCATCACAAAAAGAAAGCTTTTTGGTGTAGAGTACATTTTCAGATTTCGCGATGTCATGGTCTTGCCCGAATTCCCATGCCAAAGGCGCGTTTCGCTACCCTGTGGACTTACACAGCATACCCGAAAGTGCGAGGCGTTCCACCCCTCAAAACGCGTTTCTGCGCAGATTTAAGAGTGGTCTCACCGACCCCCCTTGGCTAAATCTTTCACTATTCGCCCCTGGGCCCCTTTCTCAGCACTTCGCCAGAACGACCCTGTTGTGCTACAGGCCGACGTAGCACGCTCAAAACGAATGGACCTCGCGATTTCACTTCTAAATTCAAAGCTAAAAACGAAGTGGATTAGAGGAAGAATTAGCCTGCCCTTGCCTTC